CAAAAGACAAGTGAAGAAAGGAATTCCACATGGAAGGGGCCAGCTTAGGCACCAAGAGCAGAGCAGGTTCGGCAAACCATGAAAGGCTGTGAATATGGCACAGATTCTGCACGGCAACCCGAATCTCTCAAGCCAGAAGACAACTTTCCTCCAGGCCCTCCAATGCTTCTTCCCCTCATCAGGAGCCAGTCAGCTCATTCCACCCAAGCTCACTCTTAAATTCATTCCATTCCACTACTTCACTTCCCCCCAATTTTTGTGCAGAATAGTCCAAGTTTCTCGACTGGCCTTCAGATCCACCACTTCCATTCCAGCCTAACCCAGTCCCTGAGATGATTTTTGGAAAGGACCAATCAGATCAGGTCACTTCCCTGCTTAAAATCACTTAAGAGATAAAAGTCCATCTTTGAACACAGAACTCAGTGCATCCTTATCTATATAAAAATGTCAAATGTGCTCTTGGTGTTATGAGAATTATCACCAAGAGTTCAAAATTGGGTCTTAAGAGACAAGCAACATGGAACCTACTTGCTAACTGGGTAACTGACATAAAGATTTCTATTTTCAATTTTATATAGCCAGGCCCCAACTTGGCTTCGCTGGTGGCTCACTGGTAAAGAATCTGCCTGCGTTGCAGGAGCCACTGGAGATACAAGTTCCATCCCTGGGTCAGGAAGATGCCCTGGAGGAGGAAATGGAAACCCATCCAGTATTCTTGCCTGAAGAATCCCACAGACAGAAGAGCCTGGTGGGCTACAGTCCATGGTGTTGCAAAGAGTTGGATACCACTGAAGCGACTTAGCATGCCCGCACACACACACGCTGTATCTTTTAAAAAGTAAGCTTAAAATAAATTTTCCACATACCAAAAAAAAAAAAGTCCATCTGTGGCATGATGTACAATTCCCTACATAAGTATGACCTTAAGCAAATTATCTATTTCAGGCTGGCCTCCAGTGAGTAGGACTGAGGTAACTTTCTACCTCAGAGAGTTGTCTTCACATTAAATCTGTGGGATGTGCTGTGAAAAACTAGAAGACCTGTTTCATGGTTCTTCAGCAAAATGTGTAGGTAGAGAGAAATTTCAAATGCAGATAGAAATCTGACTCACTGTGCACTGGGATGACTCAATTTTAACTTTACACTTTATGCTATACATGGGTTGACAACTTGAGAGAGCAAGATCACATTTTACATTCAAGAAATATGAACACACTTTGGCATAGCACCAGGAAAGAAACTTGTTACTGAGGATGTTGAACTACTGACCTAAATAATGATTTCAAGGTTTGAGATGAGAATTCCTGGATATCCATTTACTCGAAGATGGGGAAGACCAAACAATATGTCACTTTAGCCTTCAGCAAATCCCTAGGAGGTAACGGAAACGGATGCTTCAGACTAGAGAAACTCCTTACACCACACTGTCTAACACCAACTCTTCAGGACACCTCACAGAGGACCCTCGGAAGGACGTCACCACCGACTGCACTTGCCCTCAAGCCACTTAACGAGGTGTTTAAGGAAGACAAGTTCAAGGCCAACGGTGTGTGGGTTCTCTACCCCTCACCTCTCAGATATCAAGCACTGATGCTATGGCTGTAACTGGACTATGAGAGCTCTGCCCAAGAGCTGGGGGCACAAGCCCCCTCTGGGACTCTTGAGGCCAGCAGCCAGCATCCAGGTGCTTTCAAGCCTTCATGCATCCCTAAGCTATCCTCCTGCATCTAAGATGGATGGAATTGAGAAACAAAAGGGCATTTCAATAATAAAAAAAGCCAGCTCAAGTCCATTTCCTGCCACAATGACGGCCACGTTACATCATCACAAGGCTTCTCACATGTCGTGGGTGAGAATCAGCACTGAGTTCTCTGGTTAGTCGTAAGAAACACCCTTCTGCACAACTGCCTTCACAGTGCTCACTAAGCCCCACTGAGGCCCCGGAACCTCGGACTCCAAGGCAGCACAGCAGGCCATGGTAAGGCTTGTGAGCAGAGCACGCCCCAGGCATGGCTCACTCTCCCAGTGCTCAGCTCAACATTTCCTCAACGGCAGTTTTAATTAATGTCATTTCTCAGGCTAAGTGCTACAGCCTTGGAGATGAATCCCAGCTCTCCACCCTCTGTTGTCAGAGCTCTGAGCCTGGTTTTCCTCTAATCTCTAAAAAGAGCGTCTGCCACCTGACTCTGGAAGGCTACAGTTATGATCAGATAAGATCAGCAAACACAGGTAGTGTCCACAAAGTGTGGTGTGCATGGTCCATCTACGATGCTCCGTCCCGCACACAGCTGGTGCTCAGCCAGGACCTGGCACCTTCTTGGAGTCTCCGCCCTGGAAGCTAAGGCTTGGCTGGAGGAGAGGATTCCTCTAGCCACGCCCTTCCTAGGTCAGCGCTTGATTACTCATTACACCTGCTCCTGTAATGGCATCTCCTGCATCAGAGACCAGGCTGGCCGTGGGTGCAGGAGAAGGGTAAGGTGCTGGCTTAGTCTATGCTCAGTGAGTCAGGATGTCAGCAATGAGTGACAGGTGGAAGCATGACAGGTCAGCCTGGGGTGGGTGCCCCAAATTCTTCTAGTTTCCAGGCCTCCATGGCTTTCCACTCACTCCTATGTCCTCCACCGATAAGCCTCCCAGGTCTGACTTCTGTGGGGCTTCCACCCCTGCGATCTCCCTACCCCCGTCTGTCGGGAAGCAGTGAGTGGCTACATCTGAGCTGACCTCTCACCTCCACCTGGCAGTCAGAGCGCCAGGAGCAGACCAATGGCCTTGTGGCCAGACATCGGGCCAAGGCAGGAGGCTGTGTTCTTACAAGCTGTCTCTCCACTGTGACACAGGGTCAAGCACCCTCAGCCGTCAGCAGCAAGAAAGCTGGGGCAGGTCTTCCTGTGCTCAGTCACATCCAACTCTGCGATCCCATGGACTGCAGCCCACCAGGCTCCTCTGTCCATGGGATTCTCCAGGCAAGAATACTGGAATGGGACTGACATTTCCTCCTCGAGGGAATCTTCCCGGCCCAGGGATCGAACCTGCATCTCCTGTGTCTCAAATATTGCAGGCGGGTTCTTTACCGCTGAGCCGCTGTGGGAAAGATCAGGGAGAACAATGAAGAAATCAACCTGGAAAGACCCCAACACATCTGCTCCAACAGAAAGCAAAGCTTTCTTCCAAAAACAATAAGCGGAGAGAAGGCAACCACGAGAAGCGGGGAGAAGAAGAAAGAAGCCATAAACACTTGCGGAACAAGAGAATTTTTCCCAATGTGAAATGCACAGATAATTTAATGGAATTTACTTGATTTTCCCCTCTCAGGGTCTGACTTCAGAAAATCGAATTACAAAGTCATCATCACATCCTAGATTTATTACAACTGACCTGCAGGCAAGAGAAGAGAACTATTACATCGACACTTCGATTCCATGGATACATCTTAAATAGAGGGAGAATTCAAACAAGAATACAGGATAAACTATTCCCAAGCTCCAGGAAGCAGTCATGTGACTGAGCTGCACTTTTTACAGACAAATAAGGCAGTAGCCCTTCACATCAGCTTTCCGACAGTTTTTATACAATATGCTTCTGTGGTACAGGAGAGAAATAACCAGAGCTCACAATGTACAGTTCTTACACTATTGTCACAGTGTGTGAACACTGTACACCCTTTTGTTTTCATAAAGATACACTGTAATAAACTCCTTGCCCTTGAGTTTATAGTTTATAATAATCTATGATTAATACACTAAAATTGCCTTTTTTATGTGGTCGTCCACATGAGAGAACGGTCAGATCAGCTCCTGACGGTCAGCACTGTGTTCCTCTCCATCTGCGTATGGCAAAGTGACCCCACGTGGAGTCCTCCTGAGTCCCAGGGAGCCGTGGGGATGGGGGGCGATGGCTTGGCGTGGTCAGGGGCAGGCGCTGCGGGGCTTCCCCTCCAAGGCTGGGAAGTCTGGGGTTTCAATGCCACGGGGGAGAAAACAGGAAGATCAGCGCGTGGACCAAAGCGAGAAACCACTGGTGAATTCAGAAATTGACAGGATGTAACTGTAAACAGCACCATTCTCCCTTTGTTGTTGAAAAGTGTCCGGGACCGTCACCTGGGAGGAGACACAGCGACACCCACCGCTGTTTCGTTCCGTCACAGCATCTGCCGCGTCTCAGACCTCGGCCGCTTTACGCTCCAGTGGGCGTGAGCTGCTCACGGCACTGCTGGACAGACCTGACCGTCACACCTACGCGGGGCATCCGGGGGCCTGGAGGGAGGCCATGGAGACCCAGCTCACAGGGAAGGGAGGAAGGACAGCAGAAGATGCAGATTTCAACGGCCTCCTAGAACTATTCTGGTGTTCTTTGGGGGGTTTTTGGTTTTACGGTTGTTTTTTGTAAAATTCCAATCCTAAGAAATGTGGTGAACTGCTAGAGTCTTGTAGGTGAGGAACTCATGTAAAAGAAATCCTCCTCTGGTCAAGTGTTTTCTCTAGAAGAGATGCTCTTCCATCACCCGCCACATCAGCTGGGCCCACCTTCTCAGCCTTTTAAACTTGAGATCATGTGATATGCTGGAGGCTGTACAAATCCTTGGTAAGGAACATCCCCGGAAGGTTTCCATTATAGGGAAAAAGGCGAGATACTGGATCAAGCAAAAGTCACGTAGGGGCAACAAACCACACAGGTGGGGAAAGAGACGCAGAAGCTGCAGACCTGGACCAGTCATGTCGCACAGCTGAGATCTGGTCTTTCACTGCCTAAAAGACATCTTTATCTGATCAGTCAAGGCACACTGCTACCAGCTACTTCTCCCCATCAGTGAGTTACAGAGGCTAGAGCATCAGGCTTGGGACCAGGGGAAATACATAGCTGCTATGAGTTGTTCCAGACAAGATTCTAGGATTAAAAACATCTGTAAACTTTGCCCTCCGTATTCTTCCCTTCTCAGCCCGGGTGGTTTGTGGCAGGTGGAACATCCAATTGGCAGCACACCGAACTCTGAGAATCAGCACCTTCTCTGACGCGTGGCAGACTCCTGTCTCCCCGACGGAGGGCAGAGGACTGGGGGTGGGGGCGGGGGAGAAAAGAACACATTCTGTCCCGTCTCGGTATTTTCACGTTCTCCTCTCTGAACGCAGCATGGTTTTTGGTAAAGATAAACGTGCTCTAATTTAACGTGATATTTCAAACAGGGAATTTGGCTGAGCACATGGATCCCCAAGCGTGGACAGTGACTGTCAAACAACAAAAGGTCCAATCAGTCAACCTATTGCACTTGGTGAAGAAAGTCTACCTCTCCTCCGTCTCCCAGCTCCGGAAGGCAAGGTGTCTCGCTGGCCGTGCCCGCTGCATGCTCCAGCCCAGAGCCTGCATTCAGACACGGCGCAGCCTCCACCGCGTCCATCCAGCATTCGGAAGCCTGACGAAACACCCTTCCAGCAGCTGCGTCTCCAGGCTTCGAGTCTAGAAATGAGTTTACAATGTGGTCTCATCACAGTCAGCAAGCTGATCGTACTGACATCCGGGTTCACGGGAGAGCGGGCGAGGCCTCTGGCCGGCGCTGACGCTGCGCGGGCGCGCGGGGCCGCGCATTCGGGGTGGCGGGAGTATACAGACGGGATGAAAGAACACCAGTCATGGTGTGCGCGGTGTCTGGCGAGCAACAGAAACACTGTGGTGGGGGTGAAGGTTCTGGACGTCTTGCTTCCTCTCAGCCCTTTGTCTAGAGTCTGACGGAGCAGCGACATCAATCGACATACATGGGGGAGCTCGGGGTGGCTGGCATCTGATCCAGGATTTTACACACATAGCATGCGACCTCAACGGCGCGCTCCTCATACATCAAAATAAAGGGGTGTTTCTGCAAGAGGATGGAAAACAAGAAAAAGAAACGTGATCAAGATTCACATCAGAGCTCAGAGGGAACTGTTCCTGGTTGCCATGTAGCGCAGCTCTGCAGGCTCCAGCCAGGCTGAACTGTAAAGGGCTGCAGTGAGGCAAGCTAGGCTGGGCTCCAGGCACAGGTGAGTGAGACAGACCACACACGGTGTTAGCTCTGGAGGAGCCGCCCTGGCTGCGGGGTCTGGAAGCTTATCTGCGTATTGGAGCCCCTGTGTATCCAGCACCAATCGGAGCTGGAGCCTCTGCTGCCCTCCAAGAGCCCAGAAGCACTGCAGGAACCCAGAGTTGTCATTCCTCCTGGACGCAGGACGTCCCCATGAGCAGCAGAGGGGCCTTACAGCAAGGTTTCCACTTTGATCCTCTGACCCTCCCCGGAACTCTGTAACAGGCTCAGCAGCAGCTCCTCCTGGGTGCTAGTGCCTACACCTTCCAAATGCCATGGCTGCGTATCTGCCTCCCAAACCCCCTTCTTTGTCCTCCATCCCCAGCGATGTTTTTCTTCCATAGCTTCACTAAGTACACTAACTCAGTAAGCTCAGTCAGTGCTGGGGTGGACCAGAGTTCTACCTAATATCCTTGGAAAGCTAGAAGCTAAGAGTGACAAGTAGGTTTTTTCCTAAAATATTCCCACATTATTAGGTCATAGTATTTTCTTCGCTCCCAGGGCCAAGGCCAGATCTGGTACTGCTTAGAAAGCCCCAGGTCTACAGAAGGGTGAGAACTTTCTGAGAAGTGGGAACGGGCCGTGGGACGTAAATTTGCATCGGAGCTTTTAGTCAAGGCAAAATGAACACAATAAATGGTTACAGACGCGTCTCTCTCACACACACAGGCTGTGGGGTGCGAAATAGCTCCTGAAAGCGAAGGTTAAAGTTCCTTGTGGGTAGTTTTTATAACAGGCCAAAGCCAAAATTTCCCATGAGAATCCAGCTAGTATATTAGTAGGAAAATCAAACACAACTTCTGTCTTCCCAAATCTCCTTGTTTTAAAACATCTTTAAAAACACTCAATAAGGTCAAGCTGTCTCCGACAGCACAGCCGGCGGCTTGCTCAGTGAGCCCGAATCCTGGAGGGTTTAAGCATGAGGAAACACCTCCTATCCCCAAAGTCTCAGACTCACCAGGAGTTCTTTATACTTTGGCCTTTTGGATTCATCCTTCGTAAGGCTAAAATAACACAGAAATTAACATCATTAAAATGGAGACACAATTATTCAAGTATTTTTATTTTCACAAGCAAAAGTATTCCAAGAGGTCAGTTGTGGTTGTTTGTTTTTTTTTTCCTTCAGATACAAAGTCACAAAGCAGACAAGCTGCCAAACATAAAAGACAAAAAAACTTCAACAATCTGGACCATGAAATGTTAAAGCCTTATATGACCTAAAAAGAATAGAAAGAAGCTGCATTTCCAGAGAGGAAAAAAAATGAGAAAAAGAAAAGCATTTTCAAGAATGAAAAGAAGAATATACAAAACACTCTAGCTCTTTGCTCACAAACCTATCTTACTTCTAAATCATGTCGGAAAAACAGAATAATTATAAAAAATATTCAAATGATAATGAAACAGGTTTTATTTAAAATATAGATTGAAATAGTACAAGGCACAACTGTACTCTTGCCACATCAGTATGTATTTATTCTTACGTGCCATACATACACACACACACACACACACACACACATGTTAAAAGATGAACACATAAAAACATCTGGCATGGTGTTCACACCTTCCATGGCATAAATCTCCTTGAGCCAATGTATGGTTCTACCAGTCGAGCTCTGGGCCTGACCCAACTATGTTACATGTTTATATCACAGCAGAGACCCACCCCTGAAAGTGTGACCTGGGAGGATCTTCACTTAGTAAAAGTGTGCATGTGATTCTGGTACAAGTTCACCGTGAGAACCACACCAGAGTAAGAGGGTGAGTCTCAGAGAGGCTGTGTCTCTTGCACAAGGTACGAGAAATTGGAGGCAGCAGCTGCTCCCCCACCCACATCTGCTCTTCCTCGGCGCCTGAGTAGCAGAATAAGGGTGACGCCCCTCCAGGCTCGCTGGGACCTTCCATGTAGCCACAGTGACCAGAGTCCCAGCTCAGAGGGCACAGTGATACGAATAAGGCCCCCTTCCCCAGTGTAAAGTGCCAGCACTGCTGAGAGGAATTAATTACTTCACTGCCCCCTCACCATATGGTTTTGAGTATTCATAAGTCAAATACTCACCACAAGTTGACAAAGTTGATGAAACTTGGGGAGAACTCCCTTTCCTCAGAGTTACTCAGCTGTGGTGGATCCCCTTTCACGACTTGCGTTAGTTGATCAAATACGCTATTCCACTTTGGATAAGGAAATCGGCCAGTGGCCAATTCGTACTAAAGAAAACAGAGGAAAAAGCAAAATACGCTGGGCATTATTTGTTACCACACATTACAATTCTAAAACTCCTGACACTCCTGAAAAAGGCTTGAATCAAATCAAAGTGAGGCTGAGGTGCAATCTTTCAGAACATCTACAGCCAAGTGCAAGTGATATTTAGAAATCAGGATGGCAAATCCTCACCTGCCCCAGGTCAAATACATTTGTGAACTGTGTTCTCATTTTCCACTCTGTTCCGAGGGTAATGCAAATCCAGAAATTGTGTGTGCTTTTCCTAAGAACTAGGTTTAAATCTAGAGCATGGCCTAAATGAACCCCATTTTATGTGCACCTGCAGGTGACTGATATGAGGGGATGGCCCCAAGCTCATCAGAGACAGCATGTGAGAGAGTGTGCTGGGAAGACTGTCTCAGAGCTTCCTTGGCTGAGATTTGATTCTGTTGGTCCAGTCAAATGTCAAAAGTCCTAGTTTACACCATGAAAGGAAGGCGATCAAGAAGATGTAAAGCCCCCCTCCAACAGGGAGTTGCAGAGGAAAGCCTTCTTCTCCAAAAGATGCTCCTCCAGCTGGGCACTGTCTGCTCTGCACACGTGCCTGGGGGAAGGCCGGCAGGCACACACACAGGCACGCAGAAATCCACTCCTTTGCCTGTAGTTTCTTTTTGATGAAAATATAAAGGCTTGGGAAGAAGCAAACCTCACTGACCATTCACAGCAATGGGAATAACTTCATTAGATTTAATTCTGAGAACAGGTTTTAATAAGAGAAGGAAAGAGCAGGATGCATGTTATTAGGTGAAAGACTTCGGATCTCAGAAGTTAATTTCATCTCATCCTTTTTATGGAATTATGAGAATAACATCTATGAACAGTAAATTATAAAGCAATTATAAGTACTGAATGCCTTGCTTTTAAACAAAGTTTGAAAGTGAAAATGAAGTCGCTCAGTCATGTCCAACTCTTTGGGACCCCATGGACTGTAACCTACCAGGCTCCTCCATCCATGGGATTTTCCAGGCAAGAGTACTGGAGTGGGTTGCCATTTCCTTCTCCAGGGGTTCTTCCTGAACCAGGAATTGAACCTGGGTCTCCCACATTGTTGGCAGACGCTTTACCATCTGAGCTACCTTTAATGTAAACAAAGTTTAGCCAGATGTAGTAAAGGAAACTGCCAAAAAAAAAAATTTCTATGTTAAAACTTTTCACAGAACAAAAATTTTACTTTACAGTAAAGTAAAAACTTGCTTGCTAAGCATAACTGGCTTGGACACTGATGGATTTTTCTGAATATTGAATATTCTTATTCTATGCAATGGACATCCTTCTATGCAAATAGCTGTCTCAGTTGGAAACTACAAGTCTTGCTCCAGTCACCAGACCTAATAAAGTCCCAAGTTCCGTGTTCTCTCCTGAGTAACTGGGAAGGAATCCTTTTCATCAGCGGCTTCATGCTGAGAAAAGACTCCCCGAGGTGTCTCCCATGTTTGGTCACAAGGGAAGCCGGATGGAGCTTTCCGCAGAGCTGAGTTGTCAACCTGCATGTCTGTCTCTAGACAGAGAGTTCACTAGGTGTGGTGCCATGATTCACCAAGGACAGCTCACAGGGCATGTGGTCCTCAGCAAGAGGATCTCAGTACATACAGTGCTGGTGAACAAATGGAGACTGTTTAATAAGCTTCAGGAAGAGTCTCCTGCCCTGAAACCTGTGGTCTCAGTGCTCTGGGGTCTTAAGAAGATGGGGGCAAAATGGCAGAATAAGCTCTGGGTTGCCTACCAAAAAGGATATAGCAACCTCCCCACCCTGAGTGATAGAAAATTCACATCCAATGTGGAAGAAGCTGCTCTGTCTGAAGTCAGAAAAATGTCCTTCAGCCCTGGTAAAACAGCACACACAAGAAAATAAATCTGAGACTTCAAAACAAATCTTGGTATAGGTGAATAGCAAATAAATATATTTTAAAAATAGAACCAAAATTTCAATATAGCCCAGAAATGAGACAGTTCTTTCTTGGTTGTTCTAAGGCAGAACTTTCATTGAGAATTATCACCTCGGTAGTTCCTGTTCCTCAAACAATGGAATCACTATCAGAATTTGTGACTTTTCTGTTCAGGGAGTAGAAGATTCTAAGTAGTAACTGTCTTCATACAGATAAACATGCGTGCTAACACACACACACTGTCCACAGTATCAGTGGACCCACGACTCCTGCTGGAGCCGAGGGAGCGCCGGCCTCCTGCTCCTGCTCTGAGCGCAGTTCTGACTCCTAGTGTCTGTGGCCAAGAGATCCAGAGGCACAGCATTAAAGAGCCCCAGGCGCTTCACAGAGCCATGAGGGAAACCATCAACTCTAGTTTGATTTTTAAGGTAAAAACTTGTTTTCAACAATTAGAAAATAGAGTCTCTGCGATTACAGTCATGGGGTGAGGGGTGGGGGACAGGAAGAAACAGCAATATAGAAAGCAAAGACTAGAAGACACGGGATGTGTTCTTAAGAGTGGTGGAAGATTGGTTAACTTCTCTTTCACTTCTAAATTTCTTGTCATACTACCATGACAAGGTGGAGTCAACGTGAACTTACCAATGTGATCCCCAGACTCCAGACATCAGATCGGACATCGTAGCCTTGTCGTGATGCACTTGGGTCTATTCTTTCAGGCTGAAACACAAAGAGAAGCCACAGTCATTCACGACGCACACACCCCAGGGGCAGGTGATGGAAGCAGGGCTGAGTAGGCAGCCAGAATGCCAGCACAGTCCTCGAGGAACCCATGCCCAAGGACAGACAGGGAGGAAGAGGACATCAACATTATACTGAAAACAAACAACAAGGGAAAACCCAACTCAGTGGCTTCCTCCAAAAAGGGAAGACAAGGCTAATTCTTCCCCCTAAGGATTCACAAGGGTTTACAAAACTGAAGCTGAGAACAGATGAAGGGAGAAAGGGGAAGAAAAAGGAAAAAACAAAGAATTACAACGGGGCCAGATTAGTATAAATAATGGTAAAAAGAAGGCAGGGGGGGAGTAAGTCTTTGGATCTTATCCCTCTTTGCTTCAGTGAATCAGGACACAGCACAGTATATTTGAGACAAATACAAGCCAATACAAGCCAAATTTATTATAATTGTTCTATTCACTCTTCATCATAATGTTAAATTTGTATTTCTATCAAATAAAGATACTTGTCCAACTAGTCTGTTACCCAAATTAAGGCACTGCCAGTAACACAGTAATATTATCCTACCATAAAAACAGCAAAAATCACTTTTAGTAATTTCTATGAAGGAAGCATCTTTACATCTTCTTGAAATAAGGGACCATTATCCACAAAGAGTGTCAGGGATGGAGAAGAAAAGAGAGAGAGGCCATCAGTAGCACAGAGCTGACAATGGGGCCTTAGCTAAGACTGACAGTAACTGCTGTTGAAAGAAATGTCCAGAGAAGCACAATAGTCACTGCGTAATGTTCTCTGCCTGTCGGCAACAATTAGTTTAGAAACCTATGCATTTTGTTTTCAACATGAGTACTGTGTCGCATAAATATTCATTGGAAGCTTTTCACTTTTACTTTTAGTTGTAAATATATGTATTTACCTGATAACATACATATTATATAATAATCCCCGATAATCAACCAAGAAAGAAAATACTCCATCCAACAACAGCAGAATACACATTCTTCTACTCACATGGAACATTCACTAACATAAACTATGTTGGTTTATGGTAAAACATAAAACACACTTTATGTTAAAAAACTGAAATCATGCAAGACATGTTCTCAGACCACAAATTATATTAGAAATCAATAACAGAAAGAAAACCTGAAAAATCCCCAAGTATTTGGAGATTAAACAACACACTTCTAAATAATAACACATGGATCACAGAAGAAGTCTCAAGAAAAAGCTTTAAAATATTTTGAACTATATAAAATAAAATAACCAAATGAAGTAATCAATGAAAGTGTACTTGTTTCATTAGGGTCCAGACCCTTAAGTCACAAAATAACCTGCATATTTTGTTAGGTAGGGATGCACATGTTTCTAACAACCCCAAAAGTTATTTCATTGACCTGGAGGTAATCAGCAATGTTATATTTTGATTAGCCATTTCATTCCAATATTCTTTCTTTAGTGACTGTAAATACTGAATTATGCAAACATTCTTTGAGCCAGTTTCACCAACCTGCCTGTCCAGTTTTCTCATGAATGAGTTAAATACATTTTTGACACATGTTCATTCTTTATTTGTATGTGTAGTATTTTTAAAATTTTGAAAAGTATTCTTTGAGAGGAGACGACACTTAAGATCCATAAAACGAATTAAAGATCCTGTATCCTAAAACTAAGTAGGAAGTATGGGTTTGAAAAACAAAAAGCTTTTTAAAACTAACACATTTGGGCAAACTCCGGGAGATGGTGAGATGGTGAAGGACAGAGAAGCCTGGTGTTCTGCAATCCATGGGGTCGCGAAGAGGAGGACATGATTCAGTGACTGAACAATAACAACACAAGAGGAAAATATCAACTTAGAGAATAGGGTCTGTAACACGAACCAAAACAGCAAAAAAGCAATAGATAAAAAAATTTTATATCCAAAACATATAATTTATAATAAATATACAACTCAATTTACTCTGTATTAAAGTATATAAAATAAAAACCAAGGAATAAGGAGAAATTGATAATCACAATGTTATCAAATTTTGAATTAAATTTTTTTAAAGAGGCAAAAAAGTGCTGAACAAATGTGATTAGTAACACAGAACAGACCTTTTCCAATATTTCATTTTTTAACTGATCATTTATTATGCTAAAAAAAAAAGAATTTTAATATGTGCCAAAAGGCAGGAACGTACAGGCTAAAAATTAAAAAAGCAAGGAATAAGCAAGAAGATTAACATGAATCACTTTGTACTAGTTAGCTATTTGTGTAACAAAGCACCCAAAAACTTAACAGTTGAAACCAACAGACATTTATTATTTCAGGTTTCTGTGAGTCAGACATCAGTGAGTATTTGTGATGGGGGTTTGAACTCAGGGTCCCTCATGAGGCTTCAGTCGAGCAGCCAGCCAGGGCTGTTGGCCTCCCCAGGGCTGGAAGACGCATCACTAAGCTCACACACAGTTACTGCAGGAAGTCCCTTATCCTCAGCACATGAGTGTCTCTGTGATGCTGCTTGTTGAAAGTCTTTACAACATGGCAGCTGGGCTCCCCCCAAGTAGCTATCCAAGAAAGAAAACAGAAAAGAAGCCATCTGCTTCTTTAGGACTTGTCCTCAGAGGGATGTGTTCATTTCTGCCATACGCGATTCATGAGAAGTGAGCCACTGAGATCAGTCCACGCTCAAGGCCACACTTAGTCTCTGCCTTTTGAAGGGAGGAGCATTTAAAGAGACTGGACAGACTCTAAAACGACCACATATTTGGTACTTAAAATACTTCAGTAAACAGCTCTGACACTTAAAACAATAAGAAAAGGAAAGTACGCATATGTATACACATGCACATGCAACCACACATATGTGCGATGCTAAGGAAACAGTAAAATTTCAGCTTTCATATAATTATGTATCTTTCCCCAAAAACACCTGCCAAGATGGATTTCAGCCTCAAAGAACAGAAAACTACACTAGCACAATGGTTCTGAGCTCTAGGGAAAATTTTCTGAGCTCAAGGAGGTCAAAGTTATGTTTTTGATCACTAGATGATCAATACTTTAATGTAGAATAAAGATAAAAGAATTTTCCCAATTTGATTTTTAAAACTAGCATAACCCATCTAACACCTTTACAATGTATACTATAAACCAATCTCAAACGTTTTTATGTAGCAATCATAAATATTAAACATGGCACATGTAAAAAACATATTAAGCATATCAACTATGAACCATGTAGGGATTACCTCTGGAATGCCAGCATGGTTCAACCACCACTGAAAATATATGTTACTATGATGTGTCATGTCAATAGCTACACAGAAACATTTCATCATATACTGAATGTCAAAAAGGCATTTAATAAAATTTAATAGCCCTTCCTGATTCATTCTTCTCTCTCTCTCTCATACACACACACACACTCTCACTCACAGATATAGACACATATACTTAGTAAACCAGAAAAAGACATTTGCCTTCAAGTCAAGCAATAGATGAATCCTACTATCACCATTGTCAATCAACACTGATATAATTCTAGGCAAAGCAAGAAAAATAAACACAAGAAAAGTAAAAATATATATATACACACATATATATGATTATAAGTAGGTAGATGGATAGATATGAAAAAGATCAATAAATATGAAGAAGGCAAAGGCAAAAATTATTACAGAATGGTATCTTGAGTACCATCTGAAACCTATTAAAAAAAGAGGTCCATGAGTATTTTGGCTGGTTATAAAATAAACCTATCAGTGTAAGCAGCTTCCCAGGTTGGGAAACACCTGAGGCCTTCACCCTTGTATGTGTCAGTGAGCTTCCTCCACCCCTAAAGACTCTATGAAACATACTGAGTTCTGAGAGGAACTTGTTTTCCCATTCTCCTCTAACTGGAAATGGCACCACTTACATTATCCGTGTGTCTACTACAGTATCACCTCCTACAGTCAAGAGAGCATGGGGGGAGGGTTGGTCTAGAAACACAAAGAGGCCTTTTGAGAACTAACTAGAATATAGTGAAAAAACAATAATCAGAGGAGACCATATGTGCTAAGTGCCAGGCAAGAGGAACAGAGCAAGCCCACGAAGCAGGAGCTCACTGGGAAAACTCCGACAAGTTTTGCAGCAAAGCTAGAACTGAGTTTTGTCTTCGTGGAAGAGGCAAATACTCTAGTATAGTGAAACTGTGTGACTAAAGTGGATTCCCTGGAAGTCCAGCACCAAAGGGCATAGGTTCTCTGTGCAATGACTGTCAGGCAAGGAGGCTTGGACTTGCACTTACTGCCATGTAAGGCCTGCAGCCAGCATCTCTTGTCTTGGCGATCGAGTCCACAAGCTGTCCACTGATGCCAAAGTCACAGAGTTTAATATTTCCACTTCTGTCCAGAAGAATATTGGAAGGTTTGATATCTGCAAGACACAGATGTCATTCAACAGTCAAGTAATTAAGCAAATGAGCTATATTCTAAAGAAGTCCAAGGAAGTGTTGAAAAATGTTAGAAAGCATAAGTGATCAAGTCCATAAAATTCAGATAGATAAGATGATAAAATTTTCTGAATGCTAAAAACACATTATAAAAAAAAATGCCTTATATTAAATTTAGGCATTCTATAAAGTTTTCTTTGTTCTCATCAAGAGACATTCATTTACTTGTTTCAGATTCATTACTGAACATATAACATGCACAATGAATTTAATCTGTAAGAGTATACTAAGCTACTTTATGAGTTTGAGTGAGTGAAAGTTGCACAGTCATGTCCAACTCTTCGTGAGCCCAAGGACTAAACAGACCATGGAATTCTCCAGACCAGAATACTGGAGTGGGTAGCTGTTCCCTTCTCCAGGGAATCTTCTCAACCCAGGGATCAAACCCAGGTCTCCTGCATTGCAGGCAGATTCTTTACCATCTGAGCCACCAAGGAAGCCCAAGCCAAAATGCAAAGTACATAAATTTTAAACCCACAATATTGTTTAAGCAGAGCTTCATATAACTAAGGACAGTATCCAACCCAGTACATTCATCAGACCACAAACTCTGGGGTCAGAAAAGCAAAGGTTTCAGCCCTAGGTCTGATATTCACAACTCTACCTAGAGCAAGCTTCTGAACTCTCACTCAGCACCCATAATCCCCTCGTCTACTAAATCTAAGCAACAATTCCTAACTTACGGGGTTGTGGAAAGGAAAACACCTATTACAGAGTGAGCGTGCTTTTCTGCACACATGGGAAAGCTAAGTCCTTTCCATTTGCTTCACCAGATTTTACACAATTTGGCCACAACGGCCCTAGGTTACCACCTTCTCCTTACTGACCGTCACCTAATTCAGCCAGTCAGTGCAAATCAGCTAGTTGGCCAATTCTCCCCCTCACTCACTAATTCTCTGTACCTTTCTCAATCTTTCAATCCATTTCATTGTCACTGTCATGGCTCTATGAATAAAAAGACAGGATAAAAATAAATAAAGGATACAAAGTATCTGTCTGTAACTCAGAAGGTTATCCACAAAAACTCCAAAGAAGAGCGCTCACTATCACTGACACGGCTGACTGCCTATCAAGCATCCGCTCCTAACCAGGCCATCCTTACTGAGGGGATTCTGGCTTTACGAGATCTCCAGCCTCCTCCATGCGGCTCCACCCATACCACCAAGCACTGGGTCCTGACTGGCCTGAGATGAGCAGGGTGGACTAATGCTTCTCACCAGGGCCTCATTCAGGTGAGGGCATGAGGACACTCTGGTGAATGAGAGAAGAGAAGATACTAGAGACATATAAGGAAGATTTCTCTGCTCCTAAGACAGCCATATGAGGAGAGAAAGCTTCTTCTTCAAGGAGCCGACAAGTCCAGATGTGACACAGGATCTGCTGCAGCTGTGACTCCCCTGGGAACAGAGCGCAGAGCCAAACGGAGAGCGCTTCAGCCTAACCACGCTGTGCTGGGAGCCACCCCGCCTCTGGACTCACTATGGCAGACAATGAGTTTCTCTGAACTTCAAGCCAGTCAACAGGATTTTCTACTACTTGTAATCAAAAGCACTCTAATCACAGCAAAAAAGCTAACTGATCCTAGTTGGTAAAAAGGCTGCTATAGTCATACCCACCTCTGTGGATGATTTTCAAGTTTTCTTTTAAGTGGTTTAGTGCTTTCACAGTCTAGGGAGAAAAAGCAGAGAAAGACAGGACAAGCAATCAGCTCCCTTCTAATCAAACAGCATAGCAGTTGATCATAAAGTTACAGCTCAGGTAGTTCTTGGCATTCTTTTAAGCTGAGTATTTTGATATCCTGTCCATGTTCTGTGTTAACCGAAGATGCTAAATTATGATTTTAGATGTGAAAACTTAGCTTTCTTTACATACTCTTCTCTGACAGCTTAAAAAAAACAGGTAACTTACAAATTTTCAAATGAGTCATTAAAAAGCTGTAAAATCTTTCTCATACCATCTAACTTTTCAAGAATAGATATTAATATATTTAATACAAAAAGATCCCATAGTCATGGTTCCTGTTTAGCACGTTTTTCCAAATTCTCAGTTTCTCACAATCACTCACCCTCATTGGATGTGAAGCCCGCAAAGTTATGTTTGCAGAGCCAGAATTTATCCTACTGTTTGATCACTGCTCATGATCAGGAAATCAAAGATTTCTCAATGATTAGAGGAAACAGACTTGAATTAAAATTTCTACGGTCTCAAACTAAAAGAGAAGTGACAAACTGGCCAACCATTAGGAAGGTGAAGTCTCCACTGCCATCAAGTATTAGGAGAGTGAAACACAAGCTCAAATGTGTCACACAGTCAGGCTTGTTCAAGGGGGTTTTAGCAAGGAGGGATTTAACACAAAGTAATTGTGAATGCTGTGCTTAATATAAAGGATGATAACCAAATCTAGAAACACAGGCAAATATGTAATAAATGATTTATTAGTACATACTACACATATTATAATATTTTTAATATAGGATTACAAATATTACAGGATTGTAAAATAATATAGGATTGTAATATTGTAATATAGGATAAAATCATTTTATGTTTTCCAGTTTCTAGATCATCCTGTTATGGAGTGGTTAGCAACTGGATTCTAGGGTCTGGCTGCCTGGACTTAAATCATTTACACTTACAAATGTATGAATTTCACAGCAAATTAAGTTACTTAACCTCTTCATGCTTTAGATCTGTCATCTGCAAAAAGGGGGTTACACTATTTACCACTAAGAGTTGCTATGAACATAAAATGTCATGAGATCTTGGCCTGACACAAATAAACACTCAATAACCATAGCTATTATTATTCTACTGTTATTCTATTATAATTATTATGAATAGTAACAAGCTCCAAAATAAAGCTCGGTTTGGTATATTGGAGAGATGACTAAATTGAACATAAAATTTCATATACGTGTTTGAATAATGAACAAGTTTCTAGTATAAGGCTGTTTGTACTAGACAGCTTTTTATAAAATTATATGAAAGGGTATATATCTTAACATTTAGCTCATAAAACATTTAAATTAAGCATTAATTCAGATAAATAAAATATTAACATGGGATCTATGAATCTTAAGATTATAATGACTAGAGTTAATCTGACTTTTTAAAGCCCAATTATACACACTCATCTCTTACAACTAAAAAACAGTTCAGAGGCTATCTATATATTGCAACATTAACCTTTAATGATTAAGCAAATAAATTGACAATTAACAGTAGACCATACTGGATGTGGAGGCGGCAGGGAAGAAAGAGGGAATTACCTGAAACCAGAATACCTATCTTACAGTTGCCTGTAAAGTTTCATTTACACATCCACTAACCTGGGTCACCATTAATTCAGATTCTCAGGGGATTCTAAGAAATCTCATACCCTTCTACCCTATTAAAATAAGTTTTTCTTTTTATGAAAAAATTGTGAATGACCTTTGTTAGTTAGCTAAAAGAACAGGAAAGAAAATGATCATGAATTTACTTTCAAAACTATAAATACATAAGCAAAACAGTACTTCTTTTCTTTTTTTGAACTATGGTAAAAGTGATTTTACCAAATTAGTAGTAATGTTGGTTACTGAAATTGCTGGCCAACAATTTTAGTTTAGACAGAACCGGCCAAATCTTAAAGCAAAAGAAAATAGACTTTGGCTAAGACTTTCAATTAAGGAACTTTAAGGACACTGCTGCAATTCTAATTAATTTAAGGGGAACTGTAATAATATAACCTATTTAAAAATAGTTAAAGTAATAAGGGAAAGAGGAACAGAAAATTGCTTTCTCCTAGCCTTATTTACAGCACAATCTATTATGGCTCACTATGATTTTCATGACAGAACACTGCAGTATTTACTATTGAAATGTATGATTTCAATATGTACTTTTCAACAATGAAAAGTATCTGTAGATCAGTACTTTGAAAATTGTTCTTATGACTTATTTTGTTAATGACCCTACAGAAGCAACTCTGTCTCTTTTCCTATTACAAATGATTTTCCATTAAGGTCAATAACATTCTGTGAAGGGCATTCAGAACTCCAGCAGCATCTTTATACAAGTATATATAGCCCAAACAATTTGAAAACCAGGTACTTACTGCTAAAGTGATTTTGCCTAAAATTTCTTCTGGAATAACATCATCTAATACACTATATACATATTTGTAAAACTTATCAAACGAGGTAGACATGAGTTCCATACAGATCCAACAGTCACCCTACAAAATAATAAACATAAGTCACTCTTACACAGTTTAACATTAAGCACACCTTTCCTTCACTTAAAACTGAAATACAATGGGAGAAGAATCTTTTTTTTTTTAACTTTAAATGAGTGGTAATTTTTGTTCCTTATTAAAGCCCTGGACTGAATATTCTCATGTTCAAACACAAATTTAGTTGCCCAACTTTCCCCACTCTTAATTTTAAGGACAGGCACAGTCTTACATAGAAAACCTTTGGATTTTCATGAAATTTTCAACCTTTGCCAAAATTAAATATAAAAATAGAAAATATGTGGGAAACTGTTCTAAGAAAGTAAACAGATTACAGTAATCTTGAGATATTATATCAGCTTCTCAAATTCATAAAAAAAAAAAGAAAAAATATACATAAAGCAAACCCAATGCCTGGAGTCCTTGCTCAAATGCTGCCTTCTCAGTGGCCAACAATGAAAATGCCTAAATCCCAGGGCAAGTCATCCTCCTCACATCCCACTGCCTGCTCTACTCGTAGAGCACTCCCCCTCTTCTAATATAAAATACCATTCTTCTCTGCTTATGTCTTTCACTCATCTTCCCTACTGGAACATACACTCCACCAGGACAAGGGCTCAATAAACACTCTTTAAATGAGCAAGGAAATGGCAACCCACTCTAGTATTCTTGCCTGGAAAATCCCACGGACGGAGGAACCTGGTGGGCTACAGTCCATGGGGTCGCAAAGGGTCAGACACGACTGAGCAACTTCACTTTAAATGAACAAATGCTGGCTATAATCAAACCAAGCCACTCAAAACCTACTGGCAGCACTGTAGGGTGTTTTAAACCAGAGAGAATGCAATTTGACAATAAAACAACAGAAATAAAAGTGCCCATACTCTTTGATAGGCTCACTCCCTGACTAGAGATCTAACTTAAATAGTTCACAAATTACAAAAGGAAAAAAGAAACAAAAACAAACTAGAAACCTCTGAACTACCTCACAAGAAAAAGTGGTACATTATTAAAAGGATTAGATACAATTATTGTGAAAACCGTACAGCTCACTAGGCATGCATGAGAAACGACTGTAAGCAAACACCAGGTTTATAGCACTGCCAACTGTGTGCACATATAAACAAGGACTACGAAGTACCTGTGAGAATGGAAAGAGATATTGGGATGATGACAAAAATTACCTTGACAAAATTCTGAGTGTGATTACTAATTTTTGGATCCAGCTGTATCCTCAGAGATTTTCTTGTATGGACCTCCCACCCCAACACTTGGCCCGGATTATTTGAGAGATCAATGTCCGCTGAAGAAAAGCGGCTTGTTTGGAATGACACTGCTAATCAGTGACACCGCCGTGAACAGAATCCAATTGACTTAATTCCGCTCTCCTAACAACACCTACAGTGCAGGACACCTCATCTACACACAGAGACGACACATGCGGTCATGACTGCTGAGATGAATAATCTCACTCTTAGAACCGTCTGCTACCATAGTCACATAGCTCCACGCCTTTGCAGAACGATGATTTGTAAAGCATATCTGACACAGGGAACCTGCACTTATAGTTATTCCAAACTTTCCTCTTTAGGTCTCTTTCTCTTTTCAGTGCTCTTGCAGAATAGCCTTTATAAGAGACTAACACTATTAACCTAACACACACACTTGAATTCATTTTTGTCTAAAGACACCATTTCAATAGATTTACTAGAATTTCTTAATTAGAGAGAAAGTACATTTAACCCACCTACTTAGAAAAACAGTGACAGGAGGGAACTTAACTGCAGTAACAGAGCAAAGTGGGAAAAATCACTGTTAAGAGTGTGAAGGCCTGATGTACTCGTTCAGGCTCTCCCACTTTCTACTTGCATCAGCTTGGGCCCCATCAACTCTACATCCATGACGTGGGATGGCCCCATCCTCAGCGGACTCTGATGAGGATCAAGTGAGTTAACTTATGTAGAGCCAAAGTAAAGTGCCAGCAGGGGCTAAAAACAAGAGTTAAGAAAATGAGGGGAAAGGGGAAAGGACGGAAAATATGAAAGCAACCAAAAGACAAAGAGCAATCATGGAATGAGGGAGAAATCCTCGTAGTTTCTAAGGCACGTAACTCATGGAAATATTTTTCTCCTGGCAGCTCCTTTGAGCCGTAAATGAGGACAGCAGCAATGAGCTGCGTTTACAAAAAAAAAGAGGAATGGTCAGAGCTGCCTCAGAAGGCACTGACAGCAACATTACTTCCATGTTCAAGCAAAACACAATTGAAACATAAAAATAAAAATTACTGAATATGGATTTACTGAACAGGAAGGTGGAGGTTAGCGAAATTTAGCTACTAAGATCAAGAAAAGGGTTTCAGAGACAATATCCAGACAAAACCAATAACATAACTTTTATACCAACTGGAAGCACCCAGAAAATGAAATGTTTAAAAAGACACCACTCATTTGGAAAGGAAAAAACACCTGGGAATACATCTAACAAAAGAAGCAAAATGTCTCGCCAAGTTAATCAGGAAAAAATAAAGAAGATACAAATTATACCAGGAGTGAGAGAGAGAGGGAGGTAACATCACTAAAGATTCCACAGGTACTACAGTGATAGTATACAGCTGTTATGGAAAACTTTATAGCAACTAACTTGACAGGTTAGATAAAAAGCACAGATTTCTGAAAATATAATCAAACAACCAAGTATCACTCAAGGAGAAACAGAGAACCTGAAAAGAACTCTGGAAGAAACTGAACTGCAAAATATTAACGATTATGCTGAATGAAAGACAACAAACAAAAGAGTGGGACATGCTGTACGGTTCCATTTACATAAAACTGTAGAGAATGCAAATTAATTCACAAGGCAGAAAGTGGGCCTGCGGCTGCCTAAGGATAGTGGAGTAGGGAGGAGTGTGTGCTACTTACGGGGCACAAGGAAGCTGAGGAGAGATGGAGACCTTCATTACCCTGATTATGGTGATAACCCCACAGTGTAGCCAACTGTCAATTCTACTTCCATAGTTTTACTAAAAACTTGTGTGTGTATGTGGGGGTTGGGGAGATGCGGGGAAGGAAATGGAAAAATATGACACAAGTAGGGTCAGAAAGGGAGGAGGGGACTAAACTCAGCCAATGTCACTGCCTCTAATATAACCTGTGCAACATGAAGAGGTTCATCATCTCGCAAACAGAATGACAGTGTATAACACTTCAGTCCAGGGTACAGCTCTGTGTCTGCAGACTTGACTGTGTGCTGATGCGATTGATGTAACACTATGTGAAATGGGGAGGAAAGTTAACAAATTCAATAGACCTGGTCATAAAGATGAACACTCACGTCAAAAGTACAAGGGTAGGCGTACAAGAAGCTAAGGAAGTCTAGAACTGCCTAGTGACTAACTAGTGATTCAACAAAGGGATGGCAGTATCATGAAGAAGGACGCTGCCAGTTACTATCATTTTCTATTAAGAGTGCAGAAAAGTACATAAAAATTTCAGGACTAGCAAAGAATTAACTGCCAAACCTCTAAGGTCTTCTCTAATTTTAAGAGTTCATACTTCTATTAGTACATACTTCAGTGTAACACTCAGTCCGGTCTTAAAACATAGTATTTTTTAAGTCGATAACAATAACAAAACCAAGACTATACCCTCTGTGATCCAGTACCAAAAAGGAGAAGGGGTGGGGCACATGTTTTCCTCACCAGTTCATAACAAACCCACCGGTATCGGCTCATCCTAACGTTTTCAAAATGAGAATGAGTATTTAAAATGCTTAAGAGTTCAGCTCAAGTCCCATCCCCCTAAATGAACATCACAGGTGTGTGACAACTGTCCAGGACACCACACGTATTCACTGATAGCTCCAGCTCTACTGCCTGGCCTAACTCACTTCCTGCTTTAGGCAGCAGGATGCCAGAAGCCAATAAGTGTGCTGACAGCTGGAGGCAGAAGTGATAACCTACATCAGGACACAGAATAGGCAGAGGCCAAAAGAGAAACATGATCCTGAAACCAAGAAATTGAAGCTCCAGTTTCTATATAAAAATCTGGAAAACGGAATAAAATGAATGGATTTCTACCACAGTGTTAATTTCCCTGTCTGATGGATTATACTCAGGATTGTGGGTGGACATGAATAAATGCTTGTGTTAAAGGCAGATACATTTGATGACGGAAATGAATAAAGGTTTAAAAAGGGGGTGGGGGGGTACTGAGGGAGCTCAAAGACAAAAGAGATAGATCTAAAAACAGTAACATATTTAGAAGCCAGCTGATGTGCCAGGTTCTTAAAAAACTGAAAATATTTATAAATGAAGAAGGAAATATGGCATTCACAAATGGCAGTCACAAAATAATTAACTAGCTAGCTAAGGTATGAAATTCACCCCCAGCCCAAGGAACATAAGCAGCAGAAATTAAGAGTAAATTACCACAGTGATATACTAAAATGTTGAGAAATCAACATATTACTAACATAAGGCATTTAACTGAAGATGAGAACTAAATGCTGCCATTCCTTACTTATTCCAAGTAGCTGTCTGCTGGTCCCCTAAGACCCACATGGCCGTTCCTACCTCTCGGAAGAGCGCGCCATAGAACTGAACAATGTACGGGCAGTCACTGCTCCGCATCACTACATCCAAATCCATGAGGAGCTGCTTCTGCTCTTTTTCATCCACTGTCGACCGGATTCTCTGGAAAAGAAGGACAAAAGATATCACAAAAACACAAAACGACTTTAGAGAAAAGCCAGTTCCGCAAGACTGAAAATTTCCAAGCAAACTTCACAGATACTAAATAACCACACATAAAAATTATAATCTTCCTTATACTTTATAAGAACAATTTTATCACTGAAAAACACAATAGCACTTATAAAAAAAACCTGGACAGTACGGCCCTTAGGAATGCTTTGAGGGACCCAGGCTTTTAATCACAAGTGCTCACTGATCACGTTGGCAGGAATGCAACCAAGTTGTGGAGCACTGAAAACCAGCCCCATATGCAAATACAAAGAAAGTCTGAGGAGCCAGCCTTTAAACAGTTCACATGGAACAATCCTCAGGAGCTCTGAGGACTCTACATACTGTCAATCACCATTTCAGAACGGTATGGAAGCAAGGCTTTCAGTGCAAGAAGGGCCCCCTCTGCTCCCCGTGTCCTTATGCCCTGCCTCCTCCTTCTTTACACTTGGAAAGGTAAAAGTGAGAACCAGCCCACAGACTACAACCCGAGCCTCCCAAGCCCTATACTGGCACCCCCGCTTCACCACCCTTCCTGTTTGTTAGAAACAAAGCTCCACCTGACCCTCCAACCCGTGACTCAGACTGCAGGGTACACAAACAAGTGGAAGCAAACCTAACCGTGAGGGAGTAGAAGGCTGCCTGTTTGCTCCTCAGATGACGGGTCCCCTCCATCCCCACAGTGCAGACCTGGGGGACATCCCCGCACCCCCGAAGTAACTCTGCACAATACCAGCAGACAGCCACAGACCAGGACCCCACCTCCCGTCACCCACCCAGGATCTGTGCTGAACACGGAGATGTTCAGAGGACAGTTCCCAGTACGGACAGCAAAGAAACAGGTTCAGAAGGTGTGAAACAGTGACAAAGTTAGAGGTTCATGTCGAGGCATGCAAACAGCAGCTGTTCTCATAAAATGAGTGTACAACGTCACACCACGCCACTGTGTACAATACCCAGCACATACTTACAAGGCAAGTTAGCATACAAAAATACACCAGGTGGCATTTAGTCTTCCAAAGACCTCAAGCCATGTTTCCTCGATGTTCTCGAAAGGAGTGAAGGCGTCAATGATAATTCTTGAGTGCGTTTTACAGAAGAGAAGCCAGAGGCACAGATGTATTTCACGTGACAAGACAACAAGCAGGTATGTACGGAAAAGAAGTCGGTCTCTCATTTTCATTTTCCCACACTAAATGAGGAATTCCATATATTCCAAACACAAACAAATTTGATTTTATAACTTAAAATCTATAGCCTGCTTGCTAGGTACAGTACCTCATACCAAATAAAATTTACAAATTAAAATTCATCTTGTATATACTGATTTTAAACTCTCACACTGAATGTCCTGCCCAGAGAAATAAGAAAAAAAGAGGAAGAATGAAAAATAAAAACAAGTAAGACTGGTACTTTTAAAATTAAGAACCACCCCCCACCATTTATGTATTTTCATAGTTTGGAAAATAATATTCTTGCTTTTCTATCAACACTGGCATAATGTCTGCTCAAAAGAGATATTTTTAAAAAGTCAAATTAGTCCAGAAATGTAATTTATATTTGTTCAAAACATGACACTGATAATTTTTATAAACATTTTAATTACATTAACTCCTGTTTTAAAAATACAACTTTTAAAAGTGTGACTCTCCTGGTAGCTCAGGTGGTCTCCTGTAATGCGGGAGACTGGGGTTCAATCCCTGGATTGGGAAGATCCCCTGGAGAAGGAAATAGCAACCACTCCAGGACTCTTGTCTGGAAAATCCCATGGACGGAGGAGGCTGGCAGGCTACAGCCCATGGGGTCGCAAAGAGTCGGGACATGACTGAGCAACTAACACTTTACACTTTACTTTAAAAGTGTAGCTGTGAAAATACTAATTTGGGAAGGTAATCCTTTTTAAAAACATTTAACAATCCTATGTTTCTAAATTTCAAGGACAAAGAAGTAATAATTATAAAACAAATAGGAAACAAACGACCCTCTGGTTGGGAAAGACTTTGATCTACTAAAAAATTGTCACTATTAATATATTTAAAGATTTTTTTTTCCACTTTCACTATTTTTTTCTACTTTTCTATATTTACAAGTGTACATATACTAACACACACACTTACAAAACACTGTTTTAAAAGACACCCTCCTTGCTAGTTTGTTTTTTCTTTCCGTCTACTGATTAGATGGCTTTCTAAATTTACAATAAACCTTAGTAGTTATCAACATTTGGCTCTTGAGGATCAATTTCTAAAAATGCTGCTGCTGTTGCAGAAAGGATACATGTTACTACGTGAGCTGCAGGCCTAACTGAAGCTCCAGTATCTGACTGATACACAAGACTATTACTAACCAAACTGGAGACAGAGCTCCTGGCACAGCTGTAATTTGAGATCATGAGCATGGGAGGAAAATCTATTCATCTGTAAAATATTCTTGAGCACTACTGCCAGCGCAGAAGAGAAACTGGCTGCTGGAGGGCCTGCTGCTCAAACACGAAACAGATTCTGCACCTGGACTCTTGTCGTCACCTCTGCACGCTTCCTGAACATCTCGTCCAAGTGACGGGCAGAGCAAGGGGAGCAACTGCTATTACATCCCAACTGTTTGAAACTAAGCAAGAGCAGCTAGCTCTCAGTTACACTGAAGCTTTAGGGTCGCACTGCAACATTTGTTATATGTGAGCAATTAATAAAATAAACTAACTCAAAAGTCCTAAAGGACTCAAAGAGGGGATTAACTATAAGCACACATCTCCTACAACAGCAAGTAGCTTCAAATTAATGATTTTAGTTCATAATTCAGTAAGTGATTCACACTGGACAACACTTAAGTAACCAATGAGTCATGTGACAGAATACTTAATAATAAAAGTCCCTACCAGGAAAGTTTTTCTAAATGAACATCAAAGCAATGTGTATGGAAAAGATTTCTCCCATTTGAAATAAGTAAGTGGAGCATGTCAGGGAGAACAAACTCCCTCCCCTTATAAAGCTGTCCTTAACGAGGACACTGGAAATGCAAGCAAAGGTGAAGCCAACTATAGTACCTAAATTCTCTTATAATTTGAATGTTTAGAAATCAAATGTGTTGATAAATGCCTCAAGTTACAAGAAATTTTCATTTATTGATATCAAAAACTTAAAAGCTAGATAAGGCGCGACTTCCCTGGTGGTCCAGTGGTCACAACTCTGCGCTTCCACTGCAGGGTGTGCAGGTTCAAGGCCTGGCCGGGTAACTGAGACCCCAGGCAGCCACGAGGCATGGGATCTCGGGCAGACTCCCCTCCACAGAAACTAAAGAGGGACAGAGTGAGGGTTCGACAGCATTTCATTTAAATCAAACAATGAAGAGGATAAGGATTTCTTAATCAATGTAATTGGAATAAACATATTTTCAAAGTGTCTATTTCCAATAAACACCAACACTTCTATGCCAGACGTGCAACCTCATTCATGAAGCTTTCCCTGCCAAACACCCCTCCTAAGGTTCATATCTGAGAATAAAATACAAAGGAGACTCGCCTGCCACTCAGTGGCTGCCTTCAGATCAACCTCAGTCAGTGAGGTGAGGGCTAGGACAGCAAGGATCACATTCAGATCCCCAAGGCCCCCTGGATTCTTACAAACATTAGATCCTTACAAAGAAATATGCTGCTTTCCCAGTAGCAACGTCTAGAATGCACTTCAGAGGCAAAGGTGGAAACCCCAGAAACCACCACAGCGCGTCAGTGGGCTACCCCCTTCCTCTGAGTTGCAGGAAATCCTAGGCATTCTCAGTTTCCTCATTTCAAAACAAAGATTCTCTGCCCCACAGTGGCAGCAAGAATCTCAGCCTTCACTGCTAGTCTTCTAAACAGACCACACACAAAAATGTCCCTGATACCTCACAAAACTGTCACTAATAAGGTCAAAGCAGATGGCAACATTAGCCAAAACAAACCATTTTAAAAAAAGGAAAAAAGAGTATTTGTTATGCTGATCACAAATGCAAAACTGCCTTTAATGTCAAGGAATAACAAATTGTGTGTGTTAAATCATTTGTTTTAAATTATGAAAACACACGCTTTTACTAAGGCAGGAAGAAAGAATACTAATTCTTAATTGCAAAACCACCCAAGTCCTTCCCTACCAAGGGATCGAACAGGCATCTTACCGCTCCTGCACTGCCAGCTGGGTTCTTCACCACCAGCGCCACCTGGGAAGCCCATCTGAGTCCTTAGAATCTACGTAATGAACTTTCAAATGTGTATTGATCAAATTAATAGCAGGACCTCCCCTTCTTCTCACTGAGGATGCTGAATTCCTTCTACGTATTTCTGCTGTGCATCATCAGACAACTTGTGAGATCAGTTCCAAAAACACGTGCTACCACGTCATGGGATGAGCTGCTCTGAGGACAAGCTTGATATGTCTTGACAAGTGTGGTATCATCTTCCCCTTCACTAATGACATCACCCAGATGTAAAGAGCACACTGTTAACCTCACCACTGAAGTATGTAAGGGCCTGAAGATCATAAATGACAGATCACCACTTTGCCAGCCATGGCAATACAATGAGACAAGAGAGAAATCTGATACACAGTTTCAGAGGCATGGTTGTGAGACAACAAAGAATGGTAGAAAATGTGCAGAGGTATATCAAACATCATTCTAGACAATCCTCACTTAAGAGAGAGGTGTGGTAAGACAGCTGCTTCTCCAAATAACTATTATATACAAGCTGGGATACAGTCCTACATCACAATTCGGTCACGTCAGTCAAGTGAAAACAAAGGCTTTCAGAAACTAGGTATCCAGAATCCTCAAAAACACTGAATGGCTGATTAGATTCACCTACAGTGACCATTTCCAAACCATCCCACTTGGACACCAAAGGTTCCTCAGAGCTGTTGCCCTGGGGGCTTCTGATATGGATAGGCATCACCACACACATTAACCAGAAGAGTACAAACACATCACAACCCCACTCCATCACAACAACCAGAAGAGCACTAATGCTGTCTACTGTATTTGCTGGGGGTTACATATAATTCTGTCAACAGAAAGAACCCACAGTCAGCAAGACACTAGGAGCAACAGCAAAATAAACCGTGCACACGAGGCATTCTAGCCCCACAGCACCAGGGACTGGGGGGCAGGGCGCATAGCCCTGCCACTTCCTCAGGATCAGCCCTCCTAGGAAGCGCTCCACTACATGTTTCACTCACAACACTCAAGCAACATTAGCAACATGAAATCATATGGGGCAATCAATTTGGTCTTCCTAATAAGCCCCCTGATCTAACAAAATGAGAGCTTCAGACACTGGAATTCAGTATCAATTCAAAAAAAGATAGCCATAGCTTCTGCATCCCACAGGTGATCTAGATAATCAAATACTACCACTGTGGGCCCTTGAGAATCAACAAAACTGCCCGCGGTGGCAGGGAAATGAAACCCAGCCCTGCTCTGCAGACTCCCACCTCTTCCCACAGCAGCCCCGTCCACACAGGAGGCCTGCAAGTGAGCAGATCACGTGGCCCAGGGAGGGCGGGGCTGTGGGTGCTGACACCGCACGTGGAAGCTCTTGCCCTTCCCAGCAGTCATCGGGTTAACCTAGGTCTCAATTCTAGGTCAGGGACACTGGTGTCAAGAGCCAAATACCAAGGAGAGGCAAGAATGCAGGAATCAAGATCAGGTTACCAGCTCAGGATCAGGAACAATTAAACCAATGCAACAGGAGAGTTGGAAGAGTACAGAAAAACACTGAGGGTGGAAGGAACAAGTCAGGCAGACCACCAAGAAATGGAAAACTCCTGAAACCCTTCAATGTACTATACGGTCACATCACTAACTCGGTGTGGCCTATGCAGCAAATTTCAAAGAGCTGGTCTGTTTTCCCAATCAACTCAGATAACTTTTCAATTAGAAGACTCAAAGCTCATCTTAACAATGACAATCCTAACACCTCCCATCCGACCCAATGGTCAGATCAGGTCCATTCTTCACTGAGATGAGAACCTGACTTCCCTGTTAACCCCACTGCCTTCCATCTTCACTCTCTTTTATTCCCTCTCCCTCCAATTTTCATTCTTTCCTACTCTCCCTACAAACAAGAACCGGGCAGGCTCCTTAAGAAGTCAATCTGGACCTACCAACAGGGCAGTGGTGGTCCAGGCCTGCATGAGGTCGCTCCTCCAGCCCTTGGGTGGTGATCCTAGTTAGCTGTGCCTCCCCACTCCAGCCACAGACAGCTCCTCTTCTTGATTCTTCCCTCCGGTGTCCCTGGATTTGCCTGGATCAGATTCTGATCATCTGGGACTAATTCCGCTGGAGGTTTCTCCCAGATCTGAATTTCTCTAACCCTGACTGCTTCCTCAGCTGTTTGGTCTGAACCCTGGGCTCCTTCCCCATGACAACCAGCCCTGCCAGAGAGCTAAGCAGACACCTACTTCCCTCCCAGAGGATGGTGACTGCGTGTCTCATGTGTTCATCTAGTGGTTATTCCACCATCATGCAAATTGGGGCATGAAATGTTACTGCAGAGGATGCTGATCCAAGCCCAAAGGGCCAGTGTCAGAGGATGTCCTTCCTGACCTCTAAAAAACCCTGGCAATACATTCCCAAAGTGCATCAAACGACAGTGTGCAGTTACTTCAAGTGGCCATCTCATTTCCCCGACATCAAGGAGGACTCACAGGAGTGTGAACCAGTTCCTTTAAATCTCCATATTCCTCTTCTCAGAGCTAAACCCAGTGCGTGATCAGGAATAGAGCCATCCACGTGAAAAAGTCACACCTAAATCCTTAATCACACAATGCTTCTGTGTATCTGTACTTGTCGATCTGGTCTGTGAGCTGAAGTGAAGAGCGAATAGACTCTCGGGTGTGAGGAAAAGCTAAGTATTTTCAAAGAGACCAACAACAATACATTTTAAAATGTGCAGTTATGGCATGCATCAGTCATCAAACGGGTGTCAATTTTTAATTACATGAATGCACAAACACTTACTCTTCCATTATTATTTGAACTCACAGATTCCAGTCGTTACACCTCATCAATATCCTGACTGGAATGTCACATTACCCAGTTAAATGAAAGCATGGCCATGTCTCATTTTTTCCTTCTTTCTAAATTGCCCTCCCAACAGCCCCAATGCTAAACTATCATGATTGCTCAAGAATTCAAGGTGATAAAGAGACAGTATCACCTGGTGAGTACAGATGTGACCGGCATCCGTCTGTAGGTCCCAAGACCACCTGAGAAATATTTCTCAAAGTCAGATGATGAATGGCAGATAGTTTACTATTTTCACTCTTAAATTCTTTCAAAACTTGAGTAAGCATTATACAGTTGCAAATGTTAGCAAATTAAAATTAAAATCTTCAACATCAAAATGAAAGAACTTCTTTGTTTTCCTTTAAAACTTATTAACCATGGCTACAGTCTATCCATGTTACCAAAACAGATTATGATGCTGATCAACAGAGAGAAGCACAGAACAGCACAGACTGAAAAAAGCAGGACATAATTACTAAAAGTACCTTCCCTGGCATCTGGGAAAAAAGTCTAGAACTTTAGTTTACAGGATAGTTTTCCCTTCAACCTCTGACACGTAAAAGTGAGTGTCATGCACAGACAGTACATAAGGACAATGCAATGCTTATGCAGAGCAGTCTAAATAAAATGACTTTCTTTCCACTCACACAACAGTGCACAGCATAGAGAGAAGTTATTTTACATTCCAAGGAAAACAACATTTTAATTCAACAGATAATCCAAAGCAGAGGTTCCAGCCTGTGCATATTGAGAGGTCTGTGGTTACATGCAAAATGCTGTATATGTAAGCATCTTCCCAAGAAAAAGTCTATAGTTCTCACCACACTGTAAAAGAAATACGGCCAAAAATAGGTTAGGCTCCATAGGGAGAATCCTAAGATTTCGCCCCACCATCAATTTTTCATTAGTTTTACACAACCCAGCAAAGAAAACTGCTTAACAGTGAAGGAGGCTAAAAGAATAACACTTCACTCACAACAAACTTCAATACAGGAAGCATTTTTACATTAATGTGACACAAATCCACTTCCAAAAGTCAAGCAGGAAACAGGCAACTCCTCTCATCATGTCATTTTGATAACCTTTCAAATTGGGGGGCTAACAGAAAGATGATTCGCTTAGACTGTCTGCAAATTCATTCTCAATTCTTACAAACTAGGAAAGTATTTGTTCCCATAAGAATTTTAAGTTCGATGAGAGTGTGGCCTTATCTCATGTTTCCCTTTTTCATTTTAAATTGCCCCCAGCCATCATCAATTTTCCTGAAGTTTCTTACAGAGAGGGAACATTCAGTTAAACATCTGAATGAACAGATGAACAAACTACACTGACATGGGTCTGCTGGGGAGTCAGGTGGAAACCATGGGCTCCTCCCAGGTGCCAACGTCAGCCTGCCAGGTACCGTGTACGGGCCAATCTGCACGTGTGGCCACTCACGACAGTCACAGTACTGACAGACGTGACAGCACCATCACGGAGGACGCGTGTCAGCACACCCCGCGGGGCCCTACGGAGTGGAGATGAAACACACACAGAGCAGCCGAGCCGGTCAGGACCGAGTAAGGTTGAGGTTAGTGGCAACAGCATGTGCGTGGTTTCCGGGAAACCGTCAGTGAGCCTGCTGTTAGCCCTAGCCCCGCACCCCGCCCAACCCAGAGCGCAGCCTCCTCGTCTGGCTCCTGCCTGGTGCCCCGCAGCACCGCCCAGGCCCCCAGGGTGCGGCCGCCCGACCAGAACTCACCTTGGCAGTGGAAGGGCCTGAAGTTCAAAACACATTAATGCATCATGCCAGGGGTGCAGGGCACATGCACAGGTCACAACTCGTGTTTCCAGAGGGGAGCAAACAAGCCAGCAGTGAAGACCACCACCCGCAGAGCAACTGGGAGAGGAGCTGCATGAGCCCCATGCGCGCCCAGGACGGCAGGAATAGAGCAGTGGTGCTGCCGCCCCCAGACACTCCGTCTCACGGATTAAAGTACCCAAAATAATCACGGGCTTCACCTACTTTAACTGCCATTATTTGCCCACTTGGTTTGTGGACCATTTTGTTGACAGAACCGTAAGCTCCTCGTCCAATCTCTCCGAGGTCTTTCAAGTCCTCTGCAGTGAAATCCCAGTGCTGCTCAGGGGAGATCTTCAGTTTTCCTGACGACTCAATGCTGTGGGTTCTCAGTCTCTCTCTGTTAAAATATTAGGAAGCAATTTTTCCACATTTTAAATAGGCTTTGACTTTTTCTTTTTTAGCTAGCACTGATTAATGCGCGGGAAAATTTCTTTCCTCGTTAGTTACTAAAACAGTCTGAGCTCCAGGTTTCTGGGGATTTGTTTGTTCCTTTGTTTGTGCCATTTTGGTTTTTCATACCAAGTTAAGAAAGGCCTAAACTTAGGGAGTTGACAAACACAGCTTTAATGGGACTCATAAAGCCAAACTTCCATTTGTGGAAGAAACTCCTACTGCAGACCAGTTTCATTTCCAGATACAAGATCTTTTCCAGACTTTGCAAAGCTGCATTATCAAATGCAGAATCCCAGGTGCTATGAACCTCATTTTCAAAAATCTCTTATCCTGCTTGACCCAGCATGGATTATTCCAGGTCCTCAGTCCTTAATACAGCTGTTCACAAACTCTGCCACCCATCAGAAGCACCTGGGGAGATGTATTAACTCCCAATGCCCAGGCACCATCGTATGGCTATCAAATCAGAATATGTGGGCACAGAGGTCAGGAAACAAGAGTATTTTAGGACACCCAGGTGATGCCAGCAAAGTTTGGGAACTAGCACCTCAGGGTACTGCCCTGCTCCTGTTAACGCCATGCTGTGGAAGGAGAACAGTTAAACAGCTAGCCAGCTGGCTCCAAGAGGAACACTGCCACGTGAGCCTCTCAGACCTTGATGAGCAGACAGAGCAATGGATGGGAAAAAAAAAAAATTCATGGACAGAAGAACTCACTTGTTACAGATTTTCATTAAGTAAAAAAAGCACCGCCAAAATGCTAACCGGAGATCAAGTATTAACTTCTAACTATACTTTGTAAAAAACAAAATCCAGTGAAAAATGTTACATCAATCATGTTTGTCGGTTTCTCTCTTGCACACACACCCATGTGTAGGAATGAACTGTATCAAACCAAAGAGTGCAGCAGACATAAAGAAAAAGACTCCACTGAATATTATCTACAGTTTTTCCATTTCATATTAAATGATCAGAAACTTTTAAAACCTGATCTAGTGATACAAGTAAGAACATGATTGGTTATCTATTTCTTCTTCCAAAATTTAGGAAATGTTTTCTCAGATTAGCACAACTGTTTTTTATAGTTACTTTTAAGCTTCCCATGTACTTAGAATTTTAAAATCACTCTCCCAGAATAATCATTTATACCAGTATTAATAACTGAATCAAGGTTATAGTTAAAAAGTTAATACACTTTGTCTAAATAAAAACTTAGTAAACCAGCATTCCAAATGCCAGATTCTCAAACCATAACTTTAATAAGTCATAGTACCAGCTTTCATCCATACAAGTTCTTTTTAGTTTACAAAACACTTTCACCAGTACTATATATACCTAGCATCTTGAGTCACAGGAAGCCCAGAAACCAGTGGCATAAGTGACCACAGGTGTGAGGCTTGAACTGCCTAAGATGGAATCAGATCTAAGCAAGTGGGTCTCTACCTACTTTTCCATTGAAGTACGTAGGGATTAAGCCAGGAAATATTCTAACATAAAGAAGTTCCATATATAATGACTACTGTTCTGTGACCACTGACAAGAAAATCTCTATGGCTCAGTTTAATCACTGGTGAAATAGTCAGCACTGGCCTACTGCTGAGGGTCATGGCAGACAAGCTCTGAGGTGGTGCCTGTGACTCTACTTTCCCGGGATTCACATCTCTAGGTAAGCACCTCTCTTTGAACACAGGGGACCTGTGGCTTGTTTCCAGCCAAGAGAACACAGCAAAGGCTATCACTCATGATTACACTGTATCACGTAACATTTACCATTAGCATTCCTGAGAAATGAAATGAATATTTCATTGCTACATAAAGTCACACAAAAACAAGTTATTATACTGCCACAAAGATCAAATTTTAGAATTATGGAATATCTCTGCAAACAGTTTAGCTTATTGTAGGCCTGCTGTATGGCTTCTGGATAAGCCCTTTTTTTTTTTTTGAAAGTGAACAGATTGACAGATAAGGGATGTGGGTTATCTTCTCGGGCTAATGAAAACATTCACAAATTGAGTAAGGTGACAGATGTACAACTCTGAATATATTCAAAGCGATAGGATCATACAGCTTAAATGGGTGATACCTCCTCAATAAAGCTGCTGAAAGAAAAAAATGAACAGAAGAATCTGATTTTTACCCAGAGATCCACTTTCTCAGTTAGACAGGAAAAGAGCTATGAAAATCACAGAAAAACATGCTACTGTTATGCCATCCCCAAGGCGGGGTGGGGGTCAGCACCATAAATTTGTTTTCTATGTTACTCTGTTTCTGTTTTGTATATAGATTCATTTGTATGATTTCTTTAGATTCCACACAAGCGTATATTTGCCCTTCTCTATCTGACTTACTTTAGCAAGTATAATATTCTCTAGATTCATTCAGGGTGCTGCAAATCACAGTCGTTTATTCTTTGTCATGGCTGAGTAAGCCAACCATCTGTTGATGGGCACTTGGGTTGGTTCCATGTCTTGGCTATTATAAATAGTGCTGCTATGAACCTTGGGGTGCACATATCTTCTTAAATTAGAGGGTTTTTTCCTCCAGATATATACCCAGGAGTAGGACTGATAGATCATATGGTAGCTTTTTTGGTTTTTTAAGGAATCACCATACTGTTTTCCACGGCTGTGACACCGATTTACGTTCCCACCAACATTATACGAGAATTTCCTTTTCTCCACCCCTCTCCAGCATTTACTACTTGTACACTTTGATGCCGGCCATTCTGACAGGTGTGAGGTGATACATCATTGTAGTTTAGATTTGTGTTTCTCTCATAATTAGTGATATTGAGCATCTTTTCAAGTGCCTGTTGGCCATCTGTATGGCTGAGTACTTTCTCTGATAATTGTTCTTCGGGACAGAAATGAGCAACTTGTCCATTAATACTGAATCATCACTACCGTATTTTAATTACTGTTCCTTCTTTAACCCAGACTAATCTATGAGTTTCTGAAATCCTACTGATGCCTAAAAAGTCAAAGAACTGTGACATAATGCTCTGGAGCATAATCAGACTGGGCATGGAGAAAAGCTTTATTTCTATCTAATGTGTCTAACCGGAGAAGGCAATGGCAACCCACTCCAGTACTCGTGCCTGGAGAATCCCGTGGACAGAGGAGCCTGGTAGGCTGTGGTCCATGGGTTCGCTGAGAGTTGGACACGACTGGCTGACTTCACTTTCACTTTTCACGTTCATGCATTGGAGAAGGAAATGGCAACCCACTCCAGTGTTCTTGCCTGGAGGATCCCAGGGACAGGAGAGCCTGATGGGCTGCCGACTGAAGTGACTCAGCAGCAGCAGCAGCAGCGTGTCTAATAAAGCTGCCCATGCCCACAGGGGGGTAGGCTTGTTTTTTAAAGACACAGAATTGCACAGCCAAAGTGACCTGGGATGGCTGTAGCGCCACACTTCACCGCCACGTCTATTACATACAGGGTTTTGCTGTGCAAATTCAGCAGCAGGACATGCACCTGAATCCTTTCTTCCAACTGGATTATCCAATCCCTTCTGCAGCCTCACAGGCAGAAGAGAAATTTTAAAAAGGAAATCAATCATAATGGGAGAAAAGCACTATGAACAATTCCGTATACACTCTTCGTATTTTCCTGTGCTATTACACAGTGACCTGTCTGTCGCACTTCCTGCTTTACAGATGTCAATGAACGCACTGTTGCCGTGAGTGCAACTCACTGCATCTCACTGCCTGAGTAGTCTGTCTGCGCTAACCACGCAGGACCAGGGACAGGAGCCCCCTGGGCCGGCCTTTTCCCTCAGGCCAACCTGAACGGTGACTAGATCACTCTTTCAGAGGTGTTTTGATCTATTGCTCTTAGAATCGGACGTTCTTAGCTATTCGGTAAACAACTGCTTCTTCTTTGGTTAGCCACCTGAGATAACATCCCCTTAACCACAGCTCTCTACACGGCTGTTTGTTTGGCTGTTGCTGCTTCTGCTATGCTGTACTAAGTCACTTGGGCAGCGTTCAACTCGTTGCAACCCCATGGACTGTAGCCCTCCAGGCTCCTCTGTCCATGGGATTCTGCAGGCAAGAGTACTGGAGTGGACAGCCATGCCCTCCTCCAGGAGATCTTCCCGACTCAGGATCAAACCCTCATCTTTTACATCTCCTGCATTGGCAAGTGAGTTCTTTACCACAAGCACCACCTGGGAAGTCCACTGCTTCTGCTAAAAAATTCTTTTTCTGTTAACATCCCTATCAACCTTTTGTTCTATACTGCACATATTTCTCCAGGGTGCTGTTTACCTTCCAATTGTATTTAAGAAATTACATATGCAAAAAATGCAGTGATTGAGGCATTTTAGAATCAGTCATTCCTACTACATTCTTTTGCCATCCTGCAGTATCATCTAAGTTCATTTTCACATGCAATATGGATTTCACTCCACCACTGCATTTTCAGTTTCCTAGCACTGTCTTTTTTTTCTCATGAATCACCCTTTTCAGTAATTCTGTTGCCTATTTATCCAAATTTGTTCTTTCCTCAATACTTTCCAATCCTTTTTAAAAGTGCCATGATTTCTTCTACTTTATTACAAATACTAATATCATCCACGCGCGATGTGATTTTGAATGCTATGCAATATCATATTCAGAGATGTTCTTTCTCAAAGCATCGAAGATATGATTCCCTAATTCCATACCTTTCCTCCCATCTCACGATGAGTATCTTATGAAACTTGTGTTCAGGGTACTATGGAGCATCAGGAGACAGACTGACAACTAAAAAAACAGACAATAAATGGAAAGGTCCTGAAGACCCTGGACAGCAGGCAGCAAAGGGCAGCGAGCACTGGGAGACAGGAAGTACACAAGCTGAGCCCTACAGCGCCCCAACCTGCTGCCAAGAGAAGACTGCACAGACTGCAACACAGGGAGGGCAGACTCAGGCAGACCCTCATGTCGAGGTGACGTGTCTG